CTGAAAGGCAGGGATTTGGATAACAGAACTTACTCTCTCTGGCCTTTGGTGTGGAGCTGGAGTTGTCCAGTATATCAGTCATTCTGCACAGGACTGGCTGGGATTATCTCACCCGAATTAGTCACTAGTACTGCAGTGCAGATCCCCACTTATATAGTCTTAAGTGAGCGAGTTGGAGTAGAAACAGTGTGAGTGCAGAGGTGTAGGTGTGGTACAGAAAGACAGGGAGGAGAGAGTTCATAGGTGGTGCTGTAAGACTCTCATGAGGCACCTAATGTTCATGATTCTAATTTATTATCAGTATCATTCCTTCTGAATGGGCTAATAACAGGATAAATTAAAAGAATTAGGTGCTTTGAGAGGAGAGTCATTACCAAAATCAAACTTTGCTTGTTTAAAATACTGTGTAACAACTGTGGAAGTTTCTCCCATCCTTGCTTCCATCCGGCATAAATTTATTGGCAGTTCTCTTTTCATTGCTGAAGTTATATTCAATTTTACCAGCAACAATGTATTGTGATTGGAGTGAATTGAATTTTCTTTTCCATTCAAAAATGATTAGATGCACAGTGTAGAACTGAATAATAAGCACCCATTCATAAGTGTTTTGCCTGTGGTTACACGGCATCATGTGCCTTCATCACTGCTGTACACAGAAAATGTCATTACAGGGACTCAATATGATTGAGCAAATGGTCGCTTCTTCTTAGTTGTGTCAGATACTATACCAACGTTGTAACTTTGGAATAGAATTTCTTGAACAGATCCCAAATATGGGCTCCTAAGGAAAAAACCCTCACTCAGTTAGCAAAATCAATTAAAATTATGTTGTGAAAAAGAGGTTGATTTCATTTTCCTATTCTACAATTTTATAAGTAGATTATGGTCCCAGTGTTAAGTGAAAGTCTGCAATTCAGATGGTTAGAGGTAGGGAGCAGTGATAAACTGAACTTTGTCAAAACTCAGTGAGATTCTCTCATCTGCCTCCAAAATATTTTTGAACTTTTTCTTGGAGGACGGTCCAGTTTCAGGAAAGAAAAGGTGTTTCTCAGTGTCAGAGTGAAGTGTCCAAGATTTCAGCATCACGTTACTTCCCGTCCCATCCCATTTTGACATGTCTGTAAAATGCACATATAAGCAGATGAACTGTATTAGAGCTGGGAAAAGGACGGGAGAGAAAAAGAGCAAGACCCAGAGTACTGAGACCCCAGAATTTCTTACCACACACACACTATCATAGCATTAATTTGCCTTTCACTTCCTCCTGCTGTCAAACTTCAGAGAGATTAAAGTCAGAGAAGTCTGGAAAGGAAATGAGGCTGCTCACTTTATTGCTCTTGATTAGCAGCAAATTATTCTCCTAACATTTACTTTCCCTTCATTTATTTAAGAGTGATTACACGCAAATAGCAGTTAAAAACGTCAGGTTTTTAATAATAGTCTTTATTTGCCCCTGTAATTACTTCTGTAGCATCTCTGAAGTCTGAAACACACCCCTCCTTACACAAAAACAAAATAGCAGTGGTGTGTCTTCCTCTCCTTAAAGTACACTCTTCCAAAACAGTATGAAGAAAGTTGTAGGAGTTTCTTATTTACCATATTTCTATGTATTAAGTATGTTATTTACTATGCTTGATGTGGTCCAAGCTCAAATGCTGTATTCGTAGTCCCATATGGACAACTCTTAAGACCCATTTTAATTTTCTGTTCCCTCAGAAGCTTCTCAAGTGAATGAATTTACTTAGCTAACCTGTTGATCCATTCTGCCCTATACTTCGCTCCCCACATTTAAAGTGCAAAAGCTCTGACTGGTAGGACTGTCCTGCAGTTCGGGGAGACTGCAGATGACATTGAAGTGTGGGAGCTTTTGCTCAGCCATGGCTTTAGCCTTCCAAACTACAGCTCCTATGAAGCAACACCAGAGGTAGCATGGTCAAGTATTCACTTGGATGTTCATTGGTCAATGTTCTGTGAACATGTTTTTTTGCCCCATTACCTCTAATGAAAAATTCCCCACCAAAACCCACACAGACTCTAAATTTCAGCTCCAGCTGGTGGTTTCTATCCTCCTATAAAATCCATGGCTGGGACAAAATCTGAGAGTCTGTCTCAAAAGGGGGGATGGAGCACCTGTCCTCAGAGAAAATTCTTTAAGCTTGGTATTGTTGTGTCCTTGTCTTTTTTTAAATTTTTCTTCCCCTAAATGCTGTTTATGCTTATTCCTTCTGCATCTGAGGGCTAATCCAGACTAAATATCCATAATTCTCCAGAGGTACTATATCTCCAGGAAGAGTTCCCAGGATATCTATCAGTACAGATTCACTCTATTTCTTTTCAATAAAATCTAGCACTGATGGGAACTCCAACAGCATCATCTCAGAGTGAACATGACCTTCTGGTGAAGGAAGTAAAGCAACCTTTCACCTCTGGGATTAGAGCATGGTTATGCCTCATTACTGTGAATAAATTTTCTACATGGGTTTCTGCATGCATGAATATCTGGGCAACTTCACAGTATATGCAGATGTAAATAAATAATTGCTTCCTTTAAGCAGAATGAGGGAAGTATCCAACTTTCTGCATTCTTAGTAAGAGGTGTTTAAAAAATGAGAAAAAGGCCTTTCTCATCAAACCCACAGGTCTCTGAGGAGTTACAAGGAGTAGATTTGTTAAAATCAGAATTGCTTGTCTTGCACATTTGCTCTTGGAATGCCACCACATTTTTAAACAAACTTTATTAGAATTCATATCCAGTTATGGAGCCGTACAGAACTCCTTTAACAAGTATAGTCTGGCTGGAGGCAATAAATCTGTCTTTGTCACTAATGATGTTTGTATTATTTTAACACTGTTGATACTGGGGATTTGTGGGGGGGCTGCAAGCAATCATCTTTCAACCACAGCACACCTGCCCTCCATGCTGATTTAGAAAAACACTTTTCCCTCTGAATGGCAGGAGCACAGTAGGGTACAACAGGGGATATGTCCAAAGCATTTCAGTCACTAATTCTGGTAGCCAGAAAACCCCCTTGCAATTCCAGTGACCTTTACCTCCTCAATGGAGGGAGTGGGTGGAACTTTTTTGGCAATATTTTTCAGTAATCTGCATCTTTATCATGTTGTGAGTGTGATACTCTGCAGGAGGTTTGTGATGTGGTCATTTGGTAGATAGTAATTTTCTGAAGGACTACAGCAACTCTCATTTTTTCAGACGTGAGGGAATCCTGCGTCTGGGCCAGGTCCAAGCTGTTCAAGTGCTGTGAAATGTGTTTCCAAGATGCAGTTCAACTGAATCCATTAAACATGTTTATATATTTTATATTATATACAATATAGTATGCATTCTATACTACATATTATGTACAATATAGTATATATTATGTAAAAGCATATATATTTAGAGGTGATTTGGTAACAGATGGAGACATTCTGTATCTTTTCTTTCTGTCTTGTAATGCTACTCTGACAATGCCCCAGATACAGATTAGCTATATTCTTTTGCTTTAGCCATGAAAGGGAGACAACTATGTCTGCATCTTCCCTTGGCAGATATATCTCTTGCACTAAAGTTTCTTTTGGTTTGCCTTCTTTGCCTTGAAACAATGGCATTAAATACAAAGCAGGGATATGATGGTGATGTGGAAAGAGGCTCCCACTCCTTGCCCTAGTTTCTGGGAGCAGAAAATCAAGCGGTGTGCCCTGGATGAGAAATGACTGTGACTTAAGAGTCAGTTCTAGAAGATGGAGGAGGAGGGAGCAGGGAGAGGTTCTGTGTCTGTTTCTGCTCCATGATGCTCTTTCTGAACCTGAAGAAGAAACTCCCTTGTCACACTGGAGAACATATCCCCTTGAACAGACCTGGCCATACAGCTATGCACAAGTCGTTGCCAAATGGAAAACTCAGTGTTGGGATTACCCAAGTACTATTGCCTGACCCCAAAAGCCCTATAGCATAGCACCAGCTGAATAATTTCACTGACCTGTGCTAAGACATCACTGTGCCCTGAAAAAGGGACAAACTCTTGGTGTGAAGTGCTGACCAGTTGCTTATCACACCTCAGTTGTTGTGGGTCTGGTAATACTGGCAGTAGCTATAAGAAACACATGCAATTTTTAAAGTAATATATACAATTTCTTTGTTGGCAAGTGAGCTTAAAGAGCACATCCTAACACTGTTTTCATACTTTTCTCCTCTAGGGAAGAAAAACTCCCTCTACGTTTTAGGCTAGAAACTGAGATCCATTTAATTTTGAAGCAGGCAGGTAACACTTGTACCGAAACCTCAAAGAGAATGACTGCAGTCATAAGCATGGGTTTGTACAGCTGCACTTTCTGCCACTGTTGCACTTTCTGCCATTGCTGCTTTAAAAGCTGGGGTCTAGTGATTCTATTTCTACCTTTCTGGTGAATCCTTAGAAACTTTTGTCTTTTTTTTCCTTCACAAGATTTTTTCTTAACAAAATAGAAATGGAAACTGTAGACAGACATAGACCTTTTGAATATGTTTTCCTGAATTGAACCCAAGTCTCCTATTTTTAACATGGGTGCCCCTGCTAAGCTATTCTACAAGAGGATCACCCTTAAGTCCCTCTGACTGCCTTTGCTGCTATAGGAGGTACTTCAAGTATTGAAGACTGTCGTGAGACAGGTTAGTTTTACCCAGCTGATGATGTGTTGTTGCAATAGTAAACCTGCTCAGTACTAGAGGAACCGGAGGTTCAGACCCCTGGTGTGTGCGCTTGGCTGAGGGGCCACTGGCACCAGGCTGCCATATATGAGGTTATGATTGAACGCCTCTAAGTCAGAATCCTGCCTAGATGTAGCGATACCACAGCGCCGCCAGTGCCTTGGTGGGCTCGCGACAGCCGACCGCCCACCCACTCGTGATCAGGAGCGGAGGGTCGGACAGATGCGGCGACACCTCTCCCCCGTGACGTACCGTATGATCGTGGGGTACCCGGCACTAAATCATTCCTAGACGGCCTGATTCTGGGTCAGAGTTTTGTACATAGCAGAGCAGCTCCCTCACTGTGATCTATTGAGAATCAGCCCTCAACACAAGCTTTTGGGTTTTTTTGGGTTTTTTTCATTAGCAAATTTGCAGATGATGCTAAGTTGAGGGGGAGTGTCGATCAACTGGAAGGCAGGAGGGCTCTGCAGAGGACCTGGACAGGCTGGAGTGTGGGGTTGATTCCAACAAGATAAGGGTTCAACAAGGCCAAGTGCCGGGTCCTGCACTTTGGCCACAACAACCCCCTGCAGCGCTACAGGCTGGGCACAGAGTGGCTGGAGAGCAGCCAGGTAGGAAGGGACCTGGGAGTTTGGATTGACAGAAAACTGAACATGAGCCAGCAGTGTGTGCCCAGGTGGCCAAGAAGGCCAATGGCATCCTGGCCTGGATCAGGAACAGTGTGACCAGCAGGATCAGGGAAGTGATTCTTCCCCTGTACTCAGTGCTGGTGAGGCCACACCTGGAGTGCTGTGTCCAGTTCTGGGTCCCTCAGTTCAGGAAGGATATTGAGGTGCTGGAGCAGGTCCAGAGAAGAGCAACTAGGCTGGTGAAGGGACTCGAGCACAAGTCCTATAAGGAGAGGCTGAGGAAGCTGGGGTTGTTCAACCTGGAGAAGAGGAGGCTCAGGGGAGACCTCATCACTCTCTACAGCTCCCTGACAGGAGGTTGTAGCCAGGTGGGGGTTGGTCTCTTCTCCCAGGCAGGTCTCAGTAAGACAGGAGGGCATGGTCTTAAGCTCTGCCAGGGGAGGTTTAGGTTGGATATTAGGAAGAAATTCTTTACAGAGAAGGTAATTAGACATTGGAATGGGCTGCCCAGGGGAGTGGTGCATTCTCTGTCCCTGGAGGTTTTTAAGATGAGACTAGATGTGGCACTTAGTGCCATGGTGTAGTAACCACAGTGGTAGTGGACCAAGGATTGGACTTGATTATCTCAGAGGTCCCTGGCTGATTCTATGATTCTATGATTCTTTGAAGTGACTACTAAGTTTAGACCTTATATGTGAGATTTAGCCAATGTTACAGGCAGATAATATCAATGAGCAAAATGTCAAAAGCAAGGATTTACTGATGAAAAATTAGACATTTTTCATCTGGGGATTTTCAGGGTAATCACTGTTGATTAAGCAGTAATATCCTGTTGTGGGTACCAGAGTTGCATAAATTCACACAAGATCTTCCCCAGATCTGAAACATGGGACAAGAGGGCTTTCGATTTCCAGAGGAGGTGTACAGGGTATTTAAGATTCTGTCATGCTTACATATCCATCCTCAGTTTCTTGCCATGGCACAGAAGTAGGAGGATGGCAAGCATTTCCCTGCTCCCTTTCAGCATCCCAGCCCTCTCTCCTGTGCTGGCTTGAACAGCACGTAAAGATCATTTGTGTACCACATTGGATTGTAAACTACAGCGGTAGATACTTGTCCCCCCATGGCATAGAGGGATGGGTAGTAGCTGAAGGCTATTTACATAAAGAAATATTTTTCTTAGTCTTTGAAATCTGTTGGTTTCTTTAACCTAGACTGGGAGACTAGCCACAAAATTAAAGGTCTTCTCCTACGCTCCAGCCCTAAAGAGGGCCCTGTGACCTGAGTGAACAGGGGTCTGTTCATGATCCTCCACAGAATGTAGGAAAGTGTCAGTACAATTGATTTTTATTCCCGTAATAAAAGATGCGTTTTTGATGAGCAGATAAGACATTTTGTCAGGAAATGGTTCTCAGCAGACACAAGTCTGCCAGGTTCAGAGAGTGGGTTGGATATCTACTTGCACTTGATGCCCTAAAGAAATGAGAAGGCTGTATACCACCTGCTGTTGTTGTACTCTGGAACCCAAGAACCATGACAAATGGTGCACAAGGCAAAAATAATGTAATGAAAAAATGATCCAGAGTAACTGAGAAAAGAAAAAGGTTAATATTCCTTGGCAGTTGTTACTTAAATATTCTTTTTTTTTCTTTCTTTTTTTTTTTTCAGTGTTTAAATTTAACAGAAATGCCCAGGAATAGAGTGAGCATTTGACAGAAAGCTTCCTAGTTTTGAAAAAAATGAGAAAGGAGAAACCAAAAGTCCTGCCACTAACAGAATACTAATTTGGGCCTGTAGCAATTAATTAAATTGATCTTAATTAAATTTTTCCTGCTGGATTCATGAAACAATCTGTAATTCTACCATCTATGCTGTAAAAATGTAACATATTCCCTTTGCATTTGTAAATATTCCTAACTGTTATTTTTAATCAAAGGTCCACCTGAGCTTAATTGTTCCACAGGTTTGGTGCACTTAAAATACACAAATTTCAGAGGTTACTTGCAGGCAAGATGATAATGTGATTAACTTTGCCATCTGTGAGCTCTTCTTCATTACCATCACCTCTCCATGGACCAAATATTCAGAAAATCGTTTAATCCTGAGTCAAGTCTGTGAACTCAGGATCAGAGTCCCAAACCTGTGTGGTCAGTTCAGCAAAGTGAACAAGAAAAAATTTGTGAGTGACAGAGACACAAACCAACATCCCACCCCATGGCTGGGTGTCCCCTTTCTGGCTACGTGAAGGGCAGCATCCACCACTGTGCAGAGAATATGTCATTGAGCAATGACTTGCTTGCAGGAAATAAAGATAGATTAATTGAAATGTCATCAATAGAACAGGGTTGTATTGATTTGGTTGGGTTTTTTTGTTGGGTTTTTTTTTGGTTGTTTTTTTTTTTTGGTAAGGAATAGTGAGGCCTCCAGGAACATCTACTTAGGTAGAAAGAAAATCCCTTTAAAAAGTCTTAGAGAGCAAATCCTTTCTTTCTGATTTCTTAGAGCAGCACTCACTATATTTTTCCTTCCTTACCAGGCCAGAGAGAATAAAAGATTGAGGGATGTGATCTCCCACTCTCTCTCTCTCCCTCTCTCTCTCTCTCTGTTGTAATGGCTAAATTTGACCCAATTAGAGCTACAAGGCCCTGTGTGACTCATCTGAGCCAGTGTACCTCCTAATGAAAACATTCACAGTCCAGATGGCAAATCCAGCTTCCAAGAGATCCATGGACTGAAATTCACTTATCCCTAATGGTATTTTGAATAATATTGAATGATTTTTCAGAGTGCTGCTGTACTGGGCACTCTCCAGATATCTCAAATGTAAAGGTGGTTGTTCACTTTGGAACCCAAAAAAAAGAATCACTACTTTTATGCAAAGACAGAAGACTGGAACAGGTGACTGTTCTACATTACTTACACTCTTTGCAAACTTTGGTGCGAAACCTGTTTGTAGGGTTGCTCACAGGTCTTCAAGGGAGTTGTGGTGGAAAAATTTGAATTTCTTCAACTGGCTTGGTATGAGGACTTAAAGCGAACTTTGCCCAGACAATAGTGAACTTCTGCTTTGACTTATTCTTTTTTTTGTGTTTTTAAAATACTATGCACCCCGGTATCTCTTAATAGTTGTCACTCATAATAGAATACTTTGTTTTAAATGAAAATAAAAAGTATCCAAGTTGTTATTTTTCTCTTAACAGACACATATGTAAAACCTATGTGCACATTTTCAGTTAATCATATCTCTCAAAAAAAAAATGAAACTGAAATCTTTAATCACTTTACCATTTTTTAATGAGGCAGCAAGTATTCAGCTCACAGCTTTCTAGTAGAACCAGTAGGGAGGCTGCAACAACTGCCTAATCCAAAGGCTAACTATCAAACAGCAGGAAAAGGTATTCTTGGCAATTAAGATTGCCTCTCCAAACAAAGATTGCTAAAAAGGCCTAGAGCTTTGTTCTTAAGCAATGCCTGCCAGGAATCACTTTCCTGGCCTGAACCTACAGCACTGGATAGAATTATCTTCTGCTGGCACATCCATCCCTCAGTCTGGCCAGGATTCTTGGGACACCATGAGGAGGATATGATGAAGTTCCCCAGGGCACATTTCTAATCTCTGTCCCTAACTCAGCAGGATCAGCTCAGCTATGATAGCAAGAGCTTAGAGAGCTTTGCACTAGAGCCTCTCCAAATCCTGCTGTCCAGAAGATATAACAGTGGTGCTGCAGGTGTTCTTACTGGATATAGACATAGACCATAAAGCACATAGGTGGTTTTGACATCAGGATTGTGAATGATTAAAAGAAACATAATCAGCATTGCTTTTAACATAAAGCTGCTGAAGATTTCATCAGAGGCATGATGGATCTACCAAGGAACAGTTTGGTAGCTATACAGTTCCTGTGGCAGGTTTGCCTGCACTGGGCTCTGCCTGGGAAAGCTGCTCCCACAGGCCAGCTGAAGTTCAGATTTGACTCTTACAGAGGCTTTGTGGCTGTCTGAAGGTACCTTTCTTTGCTTTTTCCAAACTACCTCTGTTCTTGCTCTCAAGAAAAACCGCTGGCACTGGGGAACATGGGACCTTTCCAGGTTATAAGGACAGTCCATTAAACAGATAGGAAAAGACAGAAGTCTGGATTCCCAGCCCAATGAGTTTATTTTTATCCCATGTTCTTGTATGCATACAAAAATTCTGCATTATAATCTTTGATACTGTCTGTTGCATTCTTAGTGGGAAATTTCACAGTGTGTCGGCAAATGAAATTCAGCTGGTTTGTGTTTACTTATCCTATCTAAGAGCTGAAAATGCTGCAGTAATGAACAATATATCAAAATGTCAAATTTACATTCAAGCTCTTTGGAATTCTCAGTTTCCAAAACAATAAGGCAATAGCTTTAAAATAAGTGATGTCCTACGCACCATCATTGCAGTGCAGCTAAAACTCCTACATATTAAAGGCTTCCTTCTCCAGGACATAAAAGCATTACAGGCTATTAATTACGCTATGATTAGCTGAGACATCTTAACTGTAAATCATTGTTGCTTAAATACAGGCTACAAAGAATTAATTGGCAGCCTGCCAGTTGAGGGAGATGAAATCTAGCACTAGAAATACCATCAAAGCTAAAGCACATGTGAAAGAGCCTGAGAGCAGTCTAGAAGCACACACCACGTATTTACACCACGTATCTACACCATGTATTTACATAATGTATTTACATCCACAAGCTGAGTTCCCCACAACTCCT